ATCAACAATCCTGCGTCTGAACTTATGCTTAAGCTTTCCTTTCATGACTTACGTAAACATAATTTTTCAATTAACTTGGCTTTAGCTTTTCGGTAAAACACCTGGAGTCCAGAAAGAATTTAACGACCTTCTTGTATATCCAAGTGGGCTAATAAATTCAACAAATTGAGCTTTAGGCCATAAAGCACTCGTTAAAACACCTGAACTAGGAAAAAATAGCATCCATCACATCAGCGACGTGGAAACAGAATTTCGAGGGCGCTATTCTGCGGGCAAAAAATGGAAAAAAAGGGCCCCCCCCTCACCCTCCCGATAAAAAACATAAGACCTTTTGAAAATTGTAACTTGTTTTTAATGTAAAAGAAACCAAACGATTATTACATCAACTAAATTGAACAGTAATTCACATCTCACAAAATAAGCTAAGGGCGACTACTTGCATTCGGTGACTTGATTTTAAAAATGAAAACCAGGGACATTTTTTGTTTTGCGGTCCATATCTCATTAAAATATCTAATGTTAGTAACTATTAAAGACAAAATGGGGACAATTCTGTTCTAATGTAGTTTGACCTTTGTAACTGTTGTGCAGACATACTGATAAAATAGGGCCTCTAACTAATTACCTTAAATAAACTCACTAATTAATGTAACCAGTTCAATATGCATTATTCTTATTCTTATCATTCTTTATGAGCGCAGTAACGGTAAGGTATCTAATTACTTATTTATTTTGCATTCCATAACTTATTAACAGAGATGGTCAAACTAAAGTGGAGACATGGCAGAAATCCTTCAATGAAGCGGGACAGTGAACTGTTCACCCGTGAGAGGGCGATCAAGAAAAGAGAGCGAGCGGGCCCGTTGAGGGAGTTTACCGATGAAAAGACACAGAAAGACAGAAGCACAATAACATGTATATTTAGGTGTTTTTTTGTAAATAACCGACCGTATCAAGAGGAAGTAAAGTCCCCTGGTTTGTCCCTTATACCCTACTGCCATGAGACAACTCAAAATCAAGTTTCCAAAATGTGACACTGAGCGCTGACAAAGTTTGTTTCCCGCAGCGAGACGCTACAATACTAATTGTAGGCTTATCATGTTGATTCGGCCACAACAGAAAAAAGACAAACAAACTCTCGCTCTCTCCTGAGGGGCAGGTCAGCCAAAAAGGCCAAACATGCCGTTGCCCGGGCAACATTAGCCCGTACCTGTGCACGTCCCTGCATAACATTCACCTGTTTACAACTTACAAATTATTTATCAGTTGTATATAGACTCTTTTGCACTATTTTATCTGTTTTATTGTGTTGCACTGTTGGAAGAGCCTCTGATGTAAGATCTTCATCGACATTACTACACTGTAGCCATGTACGAATGAGAATAAAAGCCTTGAACCGTAACTTTCTTTTATGTCGTGTTTTCTTATGTTGTGTCTTCAGGTGTCGGAGGGCGGCAGAGTGAGTGAGGAGATGACGGCGACCGTGGAGTTCACAAACCCCTTCTCCTTCAGCCTGGAGGGCGTCTACATCCGCATGGAGGGACCCGGGATCATGCTGCCCAAGTCCAAATATTACAGGTGAGTTCAGAACAGCAGAAACAAGTAACCATAGAAACCTTGAGCCTTAAGATTGTTGACATTAAAGCACCATTTTGTATTATGTGACAGCTTTTATTTATATTGGTGGATTTCTTTAAAAATGGGAATTGTATTATTATTCTTATTGTAAGAATTGTTTTGCTTACAGTTTTCCCTTGTTATTGTTATTATTTATTTATTTAGAATTATCATTATTTTTATTTTTTTTGTGCTTCATTTTGTTTCTTACCTGAGGGCGGGGTGGGGATGGGGGGTGGGATGTTGAAAATAGAAAACTGAAAGTGAGCATTATATTTCTGTACCTTTCTTATTATTATTTTTAATTATTATATTTGTGCTTTTAATGCTCAATAAAATATATATATAATAAAAAAAAAGATCTCTGCTGAGAAAATTCTCCTCATAATCAGAGATATTTCAAAATAACCATTTTCAAAGAAATCCACTGAATTTAAACACGATTACTCAGGAATGCTAAAAACACAGCTATAGATAGGATCAAATGTGTAAATTAATTGAAACTTAGAATATCTTGATTAAAACAAGTGTTTTTTCTGGATTTGATATCAAATGCAGCCCAACCCTTCTGACATTTAACCCAAATCCTGCTGGTTTCAGTCTGATCCAGGGACGTACTTCCCTCTCCTGGACGGAGTATTTCACCCCGCAGCGGGCCGGCAGCAGCAGAGTGATCGCCTCTCTGGACTGTCCCGCCCTCAGGCAGGTCCTCGGCCAGGCGTCTATCAGCGTGAAGCCCTGAGGATCACCATAGGGTCGCCGAAGGGTCACTGAGGGTCACTGTAGGTCAAGGGTGTCCAAACTACATTTTGAATCGGCCCTCAGCCAATTCTAAAAGTATAGTGACTTCAGTATAATAAACTTCTGCTTGTCTTATATTGTATCTCTCAACTATATAATGTTAAAATATATTACACACTATTCATGCGTTAATAAGCCCAATTTTCAATAAAATTTCAGTCAATTAAAGTTGAAAACAGTATGGCAATATGGCCCACAAATGGAAACTTGAAGCTTGTATTCGTTTGCTTCTTCTTAAAATATATATGTAAACATATGTTACCACAGTAGTCTTCATGGGTTAATAAGCCCACTTTCAGTCAATTGAAGTTTAAAACATGTTCTAACAAATAGTTTATAGAAAAAAGCCCAAATAACAAATTCACATTAAGAAACCTTTGACATCTACCCTTCATATTTCCTCTTAATATAATCAATCTTGAAGCTTCTGTTTTA